TGTTGTGCATTATTGCCCTGAATGATTATGACTGAATAAGAAATCTGAAGTAAGTTATAATGGACATACTTCCTTCCTCAGAATTACGATTTGCACCGATTATGTTTCTAGGTTTGTCAGCACCATCCCCGTGCTCGTGGGTTTCACCGAAGTAGTAAATGTCTGAAACCTGCATCACTTTGGGCTTTCCTCCCACATTAAGCTGACATGCAGCGATATAACTGGAATACTGTTAAAAGCGGCGTTAAACCCAACTTACTCACTCGCTCACTAGAATTGACTTCAATGTCTTTTTGCATTTATGAAGTTATATACACAGATTTACACAGTATGCACAACGTCTTTTACATTTATACCTAAAAAAACCCAAAAACATTGAAGACAAATCTTAAATGTAAAGTCATTTTTTTTTCAATTGTATCAATTTTTAATTGAATGACAAAATACATATATCTCTGTTTACAAATTGACACTCAAATTGTAATAAAGAAACCAAAATTGAGTATTTATTGGCATGCTTTGTAAGTGTTCCAAATAGTTATTTAACTACTCTTTTAATTATTCTTCCTCTGCTCCTTTGCATCATATAGGAGTTAGTGCTTGGGCGATCTGGTGGCATTCATCAACACAAATGTCAATGTGTAAAGAATGTCACATGCAGACAATGTCATGTGGAGGCAATGTCATGTGCAGACAATGTCACATGCAGACAATGTCATATGCAGACAATATCATGTGTAGACAATGTCATATGCAGACAATGTCATGTGTAGACAATATCATGTGCAGACAATGTCATGTGCAGACAATGTCACATGCAGACAATGTCACATGCAGACAATGTCATGTGCAGACAATGTCATGTGCAGACAATGTCCCATGCAGTCAATCTCAGGTAGACAATGTCCAAAAGAAAGAACACCCAATTCTTTCCATAACAGATTAATTACAGTGACAAGAAAGAATTGGGTGTTCTTTAACTTACATGAGACCTTAATTCATTCTGCAATAAGAACTTCATCATAACCCTAAACTCCATGGGCGTCATACTATAATACCAAACCATATCATGCCTAATTCATAACACACAACTAAAATAGACAGAGGTGTATATCAAACCAAATGCCATATATCACAACGGCAATGTCACAACAGGACATACAAGTGACTTGACATATTCAGGTCTGGGACTTGCTGATTTCACACTTGAATAACTGAGATGGGAAAATAGAAGAATCAATCTTGCTCGTTAAAAAGATTAATGTTTTCATTTTACTCTTGTTCCAGTGAATCTCCAGCACACCAGTAGTTGAAGTTAGAAACCAGGGTTGTACCTCAATTGTAGTTTTCAAACTGTTCACATTGCCACTTGTCTGCACTTGGACTTTTGAAGCTAAAACATTGATGTACGACAGAATATCACTCTGCACTTTCTTTGTTTAAGGCCACACTCAGCAATATTGCAGCCATATGACGGCGGTCTGTAAATAATCGAGTCTGGACCAGACAATCCAATAATTGACATCATGAGCATCAATCTACACATTTGGGATACGTTGCAGGCATCAACCAAGTCAGCGTGCCTGACAACCCCGATCCCATCAGTCGCCTTTTACAGCAATCATGGGTTGCTGAAGACCTATTCTACCCCGGATCTTCACAGGTCTCCACAATGAGCACGAAACATCTTTAGATACCTGCAGTAAGTTCAAGACCAAAGAGAGAACATAAGGGAGAAATACCATCTCTGTCAAAGTCAAATTTTAACTTAAATACTGGTACAAAACAGATGGACTATCTCGGTTCCTGGTTTTCTTTCACATGAGGACATCTACACCTAGAATCCTAAACCTGACAAGATTCAATCAAAGACCAAAATATATACCCCCAGCAGATGTGAATCCTGGTCGGTCTGTGGTACTATTATTGTCCAGTTGATCAAGTCGCCACAAGCCATGTACAGCTGTGTCAGGCAACACAATGCGGCTTCCATTGTCCAGATACTTCTGGTCACTGCTGGCCACATTGATGGGTTGATATATTCACTTGACAAATTATGGCATCGACCCAGATTGACTCCAACTGTTGGATTATAAAGTGCATTATATCCCAATAAAATAAGGTATGAAAGGCTGCAGTGATGGTGCGTTATCCATTAGCAGGTGAATATGAGATGTATGCCATAATGGCTAGGGTAGGCAGGCCGCAGTTACGGTAATCTCAGAAGCCCAATCACAATGAGTGCTCTCACTGATCAATAGTGGTGATGATATAAGCCAGAAATGCTTGCCAGTTATGAAGGGGTTCTTTGGAGCTAGAATATCAAGTTTGGGCTGTAAGAATTCATGAAAATTTGGATTTATAGACAGGTCTGATTGAATTCTGAATCATTCATGATGGGTTTGTCTCTGTGCTTCAGACTCAATCATACTGGCTTTGATCTGACCCTGGGTAGTAGAATCAACCATATTGGCTCCGATCTGACCCTGGGTGGTAGAATCAATCATACCGGCTTTGATCTGACCCTGGGAAGTAGATTCAATCATACCGGCTTTGATCTGACCCTGGGTGGTAGAATCAATCATACCAGCTTTGATCTGACCCTGGGAGGTAGAATCAACCATACCGGCTTTTATCTGACCCTGGGAAGTAGAATCAATCATACCGGCTTTGATCTGACCCTGGGTGGTAGAATCAAACAAACCGGCTTTTATCTGACCCTAGGGGGTAGAATCACACACTGGCTTTTATCTGACCCTGGGAGGTAGATTCAACCATACCGGCTTTTGTCTGACCCTAGGAGGTAGAATCAACCATACCGGCTTTTATCTGACCATGGGCGGTAGATTCAACCATACCGGCTTTTATCTGACCATGGGCGGTAGAATCAACCATACCGGCCTTTATCTGACCCTGGGAGGTAGAATCAACCATACCGGCTTTTATCTGACCCTAGGAGGTAGAATCAAACATACCGGCTTTTATCTGACCATGGGCGGTAGAATCAACCATACCGGCTTTTATCTGACCCTGGGCGGTAGATTCAACCATACTGTATTTGATCTGACCCTGGGCGGTAGATTCAACCATACCGGCTTTTATCTGACCCTGGGCGGTAGATTCAACCATACTGTATTTGATCTAACCCTGGGAGGCATAATCAAACACTTTGGCTTAAGTCTGACCATGGGAGGTCAATAACCATGGGTTTGATCTAAACCTGGAAGGTAGAATTAGTCATGTTGGCTGTGTGGCCATACGTCATACCTTCAGGGACTGAACCAACATGATGGATCTTGCAACAGGTTAACCTCCTTCCCAACCCCCCACCCCCCCCCCCCCCCCCCCCCCCCCTAGCTATTTTGGATTGGATGTGTTCAATATCTGACCAGGGACTACATGAGCAGTTATATTGGATATTACATGTACAATAGGCAGATCAATGATGTAAAACTGACAGGTGGGAAATCTTGGAGTCAGATGGGCGTGGGAATGGGTGCGAGGCTGTGTAGACTGTGTGAATTTGTGGTAGGGTCGATTGCGGTGGATAGCTGGCTGGATAGGTTGATCGGAACAGGAATAGTGAGTGGATTGGTGAGTGAGCTAGTGGATGGGTAGATTTGTTTGTTTGGTCATTTGTTGTTGGTTGGTTGGTTTTTTGTTTAACGCTGCCGCTGCTCTCAGCAATATTCCAGCTATTTGACAGGGGTCTGTAAATAATCGAGCCTAGACCAGACAATACAGTGATTGACATCATGAGCATCCATCCACGCAATTGGGATCGATGACATGCATCAACCAAGTCAGCGAGCCTGACCACCCGATCCCGTTAGTCGCCTTTTAAGACAAGCATAGTCGCCTTTTATTGCAAGCATGGGTTGCTGAAGACCTATTCTACCTCGGGTTTGTTGTCCAACATTGCACTCAATAATATTCCAGCTATATGATGACAGCATATTAATAATCAAGTCTTGACCAGACAATCCAGTGAATGATATTATGAGCAACGATCAACATTGTTGCAGTAAGTTGTCACGCTATCAACCAAGTCACAATGCCTGACCACCTGATCCACTAAGTCGCCATGTATGACAAGCAGAGGATGCTGGGGACCACTTCTAGCCCGGAATCCCCAAGGGTAGTCTTGTGGATACATGGTTGGACAAGTGTCTGTGATGAGATACTGACGGAGAGTCCTTCTTCCTTTGTCTATAACCTACCTATACCTATCACCAATCTTCAAATTATTTATAGGAATTGTAATAGGTAGATCTGATTACAAGAACTGCATGTCCAGAAGTACACCAGCCTTGTCCTCACAGTACAGATAAAGGAAGTAAGGAAATTACCTCCCTTGCTTCCCGGGGGTTCTGTCTGGCCTGTCTATGCAGGAAATCAAACTTTCAAAGTTTCAGACACTCCTTGAAGGCTTATATCCATTATCTAACTCGATAATCCTCGATATCTGACTATCCTCAGGTCAGTTGTAATATGAATGAGATTCCAGAAACATTAATGAAGATAGTGTTTGATTAATAGCTCATTTCTTCTCTAACATACAAGAGTAAATGGGTATGACCCAATGTCACTGTAACCACAGAAGACCAATTCCACTGAAAGCTCCATACAATCAATAGTTCTGACAAAATAAGCCAAAGGTGTCGGACAGGGATAGAGAAGCAAGGTCCGTGTTAGTTTCGTCACGTCCTGCCTACATTACTGACAGAACCTGATGGGGTTATTGCCTACATCACCTGACATGTTCACGGCTAGGGTGAAGGGCTGGGATGTAGACTAAATTGCTCAAAGGGTGATACAGAGAACTGGCCTGAGGCTGGGCTGTACGCACTGACGGTTGGTAGATGTTTGAGGATTTGAATAGGTAAGAAGACAAGGGGCGAGGGTAGCAAGACATTTGTGACCATGGTTATTGGGAGCATTTGGAGAGTGATGAAATTAAGTTTTAGGGATGGACGAGGGACTGACAGTTGGTAGGGACACTAGGGCTGAGAGCAGGGAGGTGCTCGCACTGCCTGTAAGTTGGAATTAAGAATAGTAGGTGGTGGGAGGTGATGATGCTGAGGGCAGGAAACCTGGGCTTGGGGCTGAGGGTAAGGAATAGGTAGTTGATGAGGGTAAAGAAGGGATAAGTGTTGAGGGAGGGTAGGGAAGGCTAAGGGCAGGGAGAAGAAGGGATAAGGCTGAGGTTTGGAGGGGCTGAGGGTTTGGAGGTTGGGAGGGGTTGAGGTTGGGAAGTGCTGAGGTTGTGAGGGCCTGAGGTTGGGAGGGCCTGAGGTTGGGATGGGCGGAGGTAGGGAGGGGCTGAGGGTTGGGAGAGGCGGAGGTTTGGAGGGGCTGAGGTTGGGAGGGGCTGAGGGTTGGGAGGGGCTAAGGATTGTGAAGGGTTGAGGTTGGGAGGGGTTGAGGTTGGGAAGGGTTGAGGTTGGGAGGGGCGGAGGTTGGGAAGTGCTATGGTTGGGAAGTGCTGAGGGTTGGGAGGGGCTGAGGTTGGGAGGGGCTGAGGTTATGAGGGGCTGAGGGTTGGGAGTGGCTGAGGGTTGGGAGGGGCTGAGGTTGTGAGAGCCTGAGGTTGGGAGGGCCTGAGGTTGGGATGGGCGGAGGTAGGGAGGGGCTGAGGGTTGGGAGAGGCGGAGGTTTGGAGGGGCTGAGGTTGGGAGGGGCTGAGGGTTGGGAGGGGCTAAGGATTGTGAAGGGTTGAGGTTGGGAAGGGTTGAGGTTGGGAGGGGTTGAGGTTGGGAGGGGTTGAGGTTGGGAGGGGCTGAGGTTGGGAGGGGCTGAGGGTTGGGAAGTGCTGAGGGTTGGGAAGTGCTGAGGGTTGGGAGGTGCTGAGGGTTGGGAAGTGCTGAGGGTTGGGAAGTGCTGAGGGTTGGGAAGTGCTGAGGGTTGGGAGGGGCTGAGGGTTGGGAAGTGCTGAGGGTTGGGAGGTGCTGAGGGTTGGGAGGGGCTGAGGGTTGGGAAGTGCTGAGGGTTGGGAGGTGCTGAGGGTTGGGAGGGGCTGAGGGTTGGGAAAGGAGAGTTGACAAGGGTAAGGAAAGGATATGGTGTTCAGGGAGTGTAGGCAAGGGCTTTGGGCTGAGGTTGGTAGGGCCTGAGGGTTGGGAGGGGCTGAGGGTAGGGATGCATGAGCACATTTTTGGTGTCACCAAACAATAATTGTTTCGTCTGTGACACATAGAGTCTAAATTTCATCTCAATTCCCAAACGTCCCATCTAAGAAAGCACAAAGACACATATGCAAATCATGTAATATAACTATCTCTGTTCCATTGGAAACATGAGAAAATACATGACATCTGAAAGTGCTCTAGTCAGATGTCTAGTGTTATCGAGACTAGATTAAGGATTGCTAACTGACCTGAATAAAATACAATTTAACCAGTCACAATAAGTTCAGCATACAGCCACACGGATTATTTCTCTTAAAACCAAATCAGACAAAATCTACCCTGTTCTAAAAGCCATTCACTCAGACCCTCCTATCTATTTGAATAAAAAATAGCATTATTGGAAGTAATGTAAGCAATGTCCTATGCATAGCTACCAAGTGCGAATAGTTTTAAATGCGATATCAATGCTGTAATTATTGTCGTAACAGCGGTTTGCATTGGAATCACCACACAGCCGCTATTGGAGCTGAAAGCATCGGCAACCGAACACATTCGGTCATATCCGTTGAATTCCGCAATTCGCCAAACTACAACACTGTTGTCACAGCACGCAAAACTTAAATGACAGTAGTGGAGAAAAGAAACGGGGGAAATATTTTTCATTCAATTCTTGTTTCCAGAGAATGTAATTCTGATTAAGAAGTTGATGCGCACTGAATGTAAATAATAATCCTCCTTTGATACAGATTATTCATTTTCGTCAAAAACGTATTTTGTATGCACTATCAATGTACATTGATGGGTGAGTGAGTGAGTGAGTGAGTGAGTGAGTGAGTGAGTGAGTGAGTGAGTACGGTTTTACGCCGCTTTTAGCAATATTCAAGCAATATCACGGCGGGGGACACCAGAAATGGGCTTCACACATTGTACCCATGTAGGGAATTGAACCCGGGTCTTCGGCGTGACTAGCAAACGCTTTAACCACCAGGCTACCCGACTGCCCCGTACATTGATGGGAGTCAAATGGAAAGCTTATCGGTCATAGAGCTGGATAAACGACTTCACCAATAATTTCATTCACTGTTAACATCTTAGAGCTAGATCTAGTATTTGCCCAATACTTGATATAAACAGGACTAATACAAAGGTCTGTCAGTCAATGTCAACAGTAGTCAAATCGTCTGTGGATGATTGGCACTTACACAATTTTTTTTTATCTATCTGTACTTTATTAACATATAACATTACCAGATCCCGATGTGTGTATTTTGGCTAACACACAGTTGCCAGGATGGTTTGGATCTGGTGGACAGATGGTAGAGATGTCAGACATCTTCAGAGTGTTCAGAGACCATACCTGACTACTGCCCATCTATTTGTGATAACTGATACAAGAAAACACGTCTCCCACTTTAGATAACAAATTCTGATGCATATGAATACTAGTTGCTTGATGCCATGGATTTTATGTTTTATAGTCAAGATTTCAGGTCAGACTGACCAAAAGAAAAGACTTCACTTGTTGCTTATTTGTTTTCTGTTTTTCCCCAAAAAGTATGGTCAACAAACTATGATCGACTTTTGAGGGATACAGTGGAAGTTATTCCGCTACGTTTGACCAAATTTCCATAAGCGGCTGTGCTCGTATTCCGCTTACGACTACTGTCAAATCCAATAGTGTTTCTTTTCATTCGCATAATAAATGTATTCAGTTCCAATATGGAAGCTATGCTACCATACGCTTTCATCTTTAACCCATTCAACACTTATTATTCAAATAGATAGAAGGACCAGACACTGGCTTCCAGATAAACAGCAAATTGACTTCAAGCTTGTCACGCCACCTTCAAGTGCAAAGAGAGAAAGGTCATTCTCTCATGCTGCACCAATTCTGTGGAATGCCTTTCAACTTCAAAATAAACTCTGCGAGACTCTGACAACCTTCAAGTCACATATAAAATGTATCTCTTTCAAAGTGCCACAACTATCATTTCTCTGTTCTTCACCACATGCATGCATCGGTATGTGGACAATTGCATTCTAAAAGTAACATTATTATCATTATTAATATCAGTATCATTATTATAATTATTCACACTCCGTCGCAGTGGTGACTCAGCATAACACCACTGCCACAGGCTAATTTGCATATCACGTGACCGGACTTTTCTCTTGTTTGTAAACAAACGCGCTTTTTCAGAAACCAGTATAGAACGGACTAATGCAAGTATTTGGGGGCGCTTTACATATTGTTTTGCATAACTATATAGATATGCTACTACAACTGCGACAGTGAGTTGCATGACAATATATATTTATGCATCAAAGTGACCGTGTCGCTAGCTCTCCGTTGGGCTTCGATGACAGCACGTGGAGCCGTACAACCAATGTAAACATAGGATAACTACGCAAAAACAAGTAGATTTTTACGTATTTGCATACTTTCTCAATGAAAGTTAACCATTCTTTGACATTTGTTTATGAAAATGTGTAGACTTGTCAAACATGAAACGGATGAAAAGCATATGCAATATCTTGAATGGACTGTGAAAGATGTGACGAATCGTCACATGGCGCTGGCCTGTGGCAGAGGTACTATGCTAGCTGGCTGCCGGCCGCATGGAACTCTGGGTAGGAGAGTGATAATTATTATCACATATTCATCACATATGTCATACACCCAACCCTTATCTAAAAAAGATCTTCTGACATGCCGACCGCCTCCGTGGTCTTGTGGTAGAGCGTCCGCCCGGAGAGCGGAAGGTCCAGGGTTCGATCCCGGGCCGCGTCATACAAAAAGACGTTAAAAGATTGTACTTGTTGTTACCCTGTCTGGCGCTCGGCATTAAGGGGCTAAAACAAGGACTGGTCGGCTCGGAGTCAGTATACTGTGTCTGAGTGGGGTATTCATGTTAAACTGCGGCATGGTATCTCAGTGAGCTAGCACTATAAATCGGCATCAGTCCGGACTAGTACAAGCAGCCACACACACACATACACGTGCATGCACGTCGCTATATAAGTGCAATAATCTTGGACGCGACGTTAAACCCAATTTCACCTCACCTCTGACATGCCAAATTTCAATCTTTCTTGATGAGCAAAAACACCCCCTTGTACAACAAAGATTTCTCCTAAGTCAGTCCCCACAAATCTCACCCTATGCCCTTGTTAAGTGGGTTGTAGATGCCCGTAATGTGTGATACTGTCAACATCCACCATGTGTTTTCATCTTCCTGACGCCGCCGTACGTGTCCTGGTCTCATCACACAGTCTCTTTAATCTCCTGCATGTTCACCTTCAATCTCCATGCAGAGACCGCCGATGGGTGAGGACAAAAGGGTAATGTCTTGTTTGCGATGCACTCACGCTAAACGTATAAACATCAGACAAAAGAACTTTATCTATATTTAATTGATTTTAGCATGATATAAGATAAGCTAATGCTGGTGCTTTCTTTGCGGAATAATGACAGAGTAATGAGATTCTGGCGGAAATGTGATTCAGAGACCAGAGGAGACGGTAACATCCACTGAACTTGATCAATGACAGTTCCATCACTCATTATCATCTCTACCACATCATTAGACAGGGGGGGGGTCCTCAGTCTGCCATGGGTCAGTCAGTCAGTCAGGCTCAACTTCTCATCTCATTCAAGGAACCACCCTTATAACTATGAAACCTTCCGTGATATCATCTACTGTCGGAGGTTCTTGATGTTAGGATAATGAGTTCTAAATATCTTTATTGCAGGGTTCACCTATGCTCAATGACGGAATGAAGTGAATCCGTTTTTTCAACTATATAAAAACCTGTACCTCCGTTGAAATAGTTACATTGTTTTAGCCTGGGTTTTTTCAAACATCTTCCTCCAATACAATTACTCGTTATTCCTGAATGAACTGTTCTTAAAATAGTTCCCTATCCTGGGCTTCGAACTCACATACAGCTCGGGTTGTATACTCCCCAGGGAGCTGAGAATGATTCTTGAGTGCACATTGATCCTGTGACCAGAGTAATAATAGTGCTTTGAGCATGACCCCGAATGGTGTGGAAATATGCTCAATATAAATAGCCTATTTATTATTATTATTATTATTATTATTATTATTATTATTATTATTATTATTGATCTGTACTTGTTGCCAAATCGGCCACCGAGGCCTACTATACAGGACAGTTTTTTGAAGCCATCCTTTGGCAATATTAGAAATTATTACCAGGAATATGTAATACGTGAGTGTTTTATTTGTGTAAACTAATTAGATAAAATTTACTCCTCCTGTTTTAATTGGGATTTGCCCTTGGAAAGAAAGCAGAGGGAATGTAAGACCGAGGCGAAGCTTCCCCTCAGCCTGCTCTCCAGTTATCCAATGGTCACCCATAATGTTTTCCCTCATCAAACATTTTGCGTGTCAAGAGATGTATTTGTTTCTGTCTGTCAGGCGAGAAACACCTGCCTTGTAGGATCTATCTATCAGTTACTTTATATCCTATGGTTGACAAAAGTCTGAAGCAAACATGCAAGCCAGGTCATCCAACCTTCCCCTTACTGTTCCTGTCTTTGGTACTGGATGATAGTCTGTCACTGATGTCGTGCTGTTGCTCAAACATCAGAATGAAAATTTAAGTGGCAATCTAAGGTTTCTGTTTTCGGAAGGGTGTGTAAGCAGACCCTCTAGTACGTGACAAGAGACACATTTTCTGATAACAAAACACACACTTACAACAGTATAAATCTTCTGAATAAGGCACTGTTGAGAAACAATATAAACCTGAACAAATAATACTCATGCATAAGAGTGAGTAAATGAGTTCGTCTTTTACGCCGCCTTTAGCAATATTCCTGCAATATCACAGCGGGGGACACCAGATATGGGCTTGACACATTATACCCATGTGGGGAATTGAACCCAGGCCTTCAGCAAACCCAGGCCGTGACAAGCAAATACTTCAACCACTAGGCTACCCCACCGCCCATCATGCACAAGATGTACATGAGGGTGCTGTGTAATCATTATCCA